TCTATATATATATATATATATACAGTATATATATTCCAATTCAGATGAATGCTAATACTGCTACATCTAATTATTATTATAGAAGCTGATATTGATATGGTCACAAATATATTGTGCAGCTCTAGTTATTGCAATTTTTTATAATATATGGAGACTTTTTTTTTGTGATTTTTTTATTTACATTTTGAACATTAAACTTGAGGATACACATTTATTTTCACTTAAATGTCCATCTAAGCACTGTGCCTTTATCTTCCAGGAGACACGGCACAACCTGACGGTAAATCTGACCACTTTGAGAGTGTGGTGCTATGCCTGTTCCAAGGAGGTTTTCCTGGAAAGAAAACTGGGTCCACACACACAGTTGCCCAGCACTGCCAAGCCCATCTCCCCAGTACAGACCCCTAGCCCGGTCAGAACTCTTATGCAACTTTCTGTGAATGCAAAGCAAAGATTATAAGTTTGGTTGTGCTTAGATAAAATCCTCCTTTATATTTACAACATCGTCTTTGCAATGTAAACATGACTATAAATATTTGCGAAGAAGACAAGACCGATCACAGTCTCAGTATGCAAATAGATGTAAGACAAAAGACCAATAACTATTCAGTATGTACTTAATAAATTATTTGTGTTAAAGTTGTTTTAATTTAGTTGATTAGACATGTTTCTGATGATTCAAATTTAATGAAACTCTTAAACTGGTATCCAGAATCATTAAAATGTAAAACACAGTATTAGGGAAAAACATATAATTGATTTCATAGGGCCTTAGAATTCTTTTAAAAAATTATTTTTGTATAGGCTCATCCTGACTAGCCCAACATAGTCAGCCAATTGGTTTATTTAAAACTTGGTTATTTATTTGATAGTTATTTATTTTGATACTTTGTCCTTTAGCTGCATTTAAGAAAAGACTCATTTTTATTCTTAAGTTTGAAAGATTTTGTTCTCTTGTATGAAGCACAATCTTCAGAGTCTCTCTAGATGTTTGATCACTTTCAACCAGTGGAATACATCCATTGTCATGCCTGGCTGGAGAGGAAGGCCGTTTGGAGAATTAGCGTTGACATGAATGGGCCATCATAGGCTGTTCAGAGACTGTATGAAACATTAAGCTCATTTTCAGGCTCACTTTCATGAAGCCCAGATAGACTGTGGACTCCTGTAGAGGGGATATTCAGTCAAAGTCAATGAATGCCTTGTTTTAAAGGGGTCATATGATGCGATTTCAAGTTTTCCTTTCTCTTTGGGATGTTACAAGCTGATTGTGCATAGATAAGATCCCTGAAGTTGCAAAGACTAAAGTCTCAAAACCAAAGAGATATTCTTTATCAAAGTTAAGACTCTGCCACGCCCCCCTAAAACGGCTCGTCGCATGTGTGTAAGAGAGCGAGAGCAAGAGAGACAGCATCACATCATAGTAGAGTCAGCTCTCTTAACCGTGGCTTGTGTACTGCATCATTACTGTGTCTGTTCCCCTTTCGGGCTTGAACTGATGGTAAAACTAATGACATTATTTACTGTCTTTACATTTATTTTGAAAGAATAAGCTCGCGATTATGGTAAGGGGAGTTACATTTCCGACGAGTGCTTGCGGTGTTCGGCCGATCACAATGCACTGGGTCAGCTGGCCAATCAGAGCAGATTGCGCTTGTCGGAAGGAGGGACTTTGTAGAAAACTAAGCATTTGAGAGAGGCGGGGCATAGAGGACCTACAATAATGTACAGTATTTGAAAAATAATGTGTTTTTTGAACATTAAATCATGTCAACATATTCTGTTACACCAAATACACAAAATAATGATCTTTTAAAAAACATCATATGACCCCTTTAAAGTCATTCCCTCTACTAAGTATAAAGATAAATGGGCATTGTTTAATACCATCATCTGAATACAGCAAGGAAACCTTTTGTCCTTGTACTGCATTGACATAATACAGCGATGACCTTCTGGTCTAATATGCTGTGTCCTGTTGTTGGAAACTTGTTTGCCTACCAGGATTCTTAATACCAGGATGTTAGAATGCCAGTTGGCCATGTTGCTATGTGAATGAGCCAGTAATGGCTGATGTTCTCAGGGCTCGCAAAATAAAAAAAAAACCTGGTAGCCCTTAAGGCAGGCATTCTTCAGATTTGATAGCCCAAAATGAATTTAATTAGACCAAATAAAAAAGACATTGGCTGAAGTTCACTGTGGAAAAATCAGCATGATCGGAAACTACAGTGATTGTATTTTTTTCTTCAAATGGCAAGTCAAGAGAGTAGGGGTGCAACGGATCACAGAATTCACGGTTCGGATCATATTCTGGATTTTGAGTCACACATCGGATCACTTTTCGGATAAGCACAAAAAAACAAAACATCAACAAAAAGGTTCTTTATTATTTAAGGAACTCTTTAAGTACTCCTTTGATACAACAGCAAAAGTTAGTAACGTAACGTAATTAATAAAGGTCAAACATTTTTAAAGACAAGTGAACCGTCAGTAATAAAATAACAAATAAACAAATGACAAGCATAGCCATAGTTACAAATAAACTAAGAACTAACATTAGTTTTCAGGCACAGAAATGTAATAATTATGTGTAAAATAACACTGCTTAATGTTCACTGTATAAATTAAATATATAGGTTAATCTTTGTTAAATATGTGTTTTGTTGTTTGATTAACATTAAGGACACAAGACAGCAATAGGCTGCTGTCCCTTTAAGATTGAATGCACAGATCCAATACAATGATACACATGCGATTTCATCAATCAATCAACCGATTGATCGATCGATCGATTAATTAATTAACTAATTAATTTGACTTATTTCTTTCATTGAAGGTAACCTTGTATTATAATAAATGATAACCATTTATTTATTTCACCTTTGTTTTTATAGTGCATTATACAATGCAGATTGTGTCAAAGCAGCTTTACAGTGTTAAACTGAAAAAAATGTGTGGTGATAATGCAAGAGGACAATAGAAAACAATCAGTTTATCAATTAAAGCACAAACAGATGCAATAGTTCAAAGGTAAAAATGAACCATGCTTTAAGTTTTTCAGGGAGGTCTAACTGTATTGCAGTTAAGGATGCACTGATCAGGATTTTTCATGACCGATTCCAACTGCCGATTTTTTCACAATCAAATGGGCCGATTCCCATACTGGTTGCTGATTTATTTCGTTTTTATTATTTTTATAAATATTTTTTATTTATTATTTGTTTACGTTTCTCTGTTACTGGCCAAACTGACCTTAAACAAACAAAAAATATATGCAATATGAAGCAACTACAAAACAAAACCGAAGGGGGGCTGAATGAAAATGCAAATTCACACTTTTGGACAGCAGGTGGCACTTATAGAACAGCAGCAATAGCTTTTCCATGGTTACTGCTGTTCACAAGCAGCGCTGCGCACATTTAACACTCCATTAATATATGGAGGTAAGAGGAAAAGTTTTTCTGAAAAATTTTCCTCAGAAATACATCCATATTAACCCCCACCCAACATGGTGGACAGCTGCTGTGCGCCAGGATGCCAGAACAGGCAGGGGAAAGCTAGGGTTGCCAACCGTCCCGTATTAGCCGGGACGTCCCGTATATTGGGCTTAATTTATGTGTCCCGTACGTGACCTCCCTTGGCCCATTTCTTGCCCCCTCACACAGTATTCGTTAAGTAAATCAGAAAATCCTGAACATAACTGTTTGAGAAAGGCTGCAGAATCCTCTGCTGGCTGGTCGCTCCCGCTTCACAGTTAAGCGGCGCTCGTGCTAACGCAAATTCTGTCCGTGTTTTGATTTCAGTAAATCAGTTTTGGCAAATACAAACTACGTGATTACGTTTGATGAGTCCAACATCCCACCGTGCAAGAAAACATGCAATCTACCTGAGACGTGATCGATAAGGGAAGCCGTCTGTTATTGCAAAATAGAGAAAACATTTTTTTACATTTAAGTAAGCTTCTTAACCTTGTAGTCTATCTTGTTATTCGTAAAACACACAAAATGACCAGTAAAAAAGTGTCAAGCGCCAAAAGCAGCCCATATTAAATCTAAGTTATCTTTAATTCAAAAATACGCATTTTCATATATATATATATATATATATATATATATATATATGCGATTGTCCCATAAAGCATAGGGGAAATCATTTTATCGTATTCTAAGGATCCCGATAGACGACTAAAATGGTTCACTGCAATAAAACATGCTAACCAACACAAAATTTGGGATTAAATGGGTAAGATTTCATGACATTTATGATGTCTACTGTACTCAGTGATATAGCTATGCTGGCTACCTACAAGGACAGCTAGGGTCGATTACGTTAGCTAACAACACGTTTGACTTAACGTTACCCTTCCAGTGATGACATAGCAGGTTGAATATTCATCAAAAAATTAGATTGCGTCCATTTATACCCCTCCAGGCTTTGTAGGCTTTTAAAGAGTCTCCGAAGTAACGTTAGGAGGGAAAGTTGATTACGTACGTTGTAGATATCAGGATACTGCAGGTCAGGAAATCTATCCGTTCCTTTATTGATACACGTTAAAAGCACCACGGGGGCATTATAGGGATCTGTTATGCTTAATCTATTAAGTTTTGTTATGTACAGGTCTATGTCTTTTGAATTTAAGTACGCAGTGAACTCTGTTGCCTTGAAACTCATGCTGGCACCATTCATTTCATATTCACTCCTGGCTGTCCCTGCCTGCCAGCATGGTGGTGTAAACAGAATGGGTCACGTGATGTCCGGAGCTCTATGAGAGCAACAATGTATGTATGGGAAAAGAGAATGTAAGTGTGTGTGAGAACGCCAGAATGAATTATGGCTTTTATGGCCCTTCATAGAGTTCTCTTTCGCCGCTTCATGTGCTTGAATTGATTAAATGCTTGAATGTTTAAATCGGACTCAGAAAAGATTTAGAAACATGTAACATGCTAATGATCAACTACGATCCTTTTCACCTCTACAAGTGAGTGAACAACGCAAATCAAGGAAGGATTTTTATATCACTGTTCAAGATAGCCCGTCCGGCAGGGAGGTGATACATTTTGATAGCCCGACTGGAAGACACAATAGCTGAAGCTCTTTAAAGTCAAGTGGATTCTGATTGACTATCAATCTTTTTATCGTCAGCTGGAAAAAAGTAATTCTGAAAGTGATTCCAATTATATTGCTTCTCTGTGTCTTTACTGCTGTAGCTGTGGTGTGAACTTTGTTTTGGTCTTTGGAGTGTTTATTAAACATTCTTAATTGTTTTTATTTTGCAAAACATTATTTAAAATCTGTCTGTCCTAAGGACTCTCAAGAGTTCCTGCGTTGTCTGATGGACCAACTTCACGAGGAGCTCAAGGAGCCCATTCCTGAACCTGAGGACCCAAACCAGGCTGTGGCCATGGATGACAGTCCCGACGAGGACAACCACAGCCAATCAGACGACTTCCAGACCTGCGAGTCTTGCGGCTGCAGCGATCGTGCTGATAGCGAAGGCCCCAGAGTCCCAGAAGACATTAATGAAGCTGAGATGCTGATTTCAGAGCAGATCCAAAACAACCGAGATTGGCAGAAAGAGAAGAATCTAATCAACAACCTGTACCGTGCCGGTTCCCATGGCGACCTGGATAAAGACGTGGACACCACCAATGAGTCGAGGCCAATCATCAGCAGCCAAGGAGCCATTAAAGCTCAGGGCCGAAATTCTGGTAAATGCAAGGCTGTTACTTCTATGCAACATGTAAACGAACAGCCTTACAGTCTCCAATAAACTCACAGTGAAGATTTTTATTTTATTTTTTTTTTGCTCAGAGGTAAAATATTTGATATACTGTGTGAATATTCTGAAGGCATTTGATCTCATGGATATGGTCATGTTTTTACTCATGTTTAACCTTGACAGAAAGCTTGCACTTGCAAGCTGTTTCAAACCACTGAACTGAACTACAAAAGACCCTAATTTTGGCCCGATTTTGTTTAAAATGACATCATACATGTTCGTTCTTCAATTTTGCTTGAAGGATATCGGGGCCTTAGTTGAAATCCATTGAGGGCAGTGCTAGCGTTTTGCTTGCTTTTATTGACTGACTGACTTGTTTGTTTCCACCTTGTTCAGATTCAAACCCTGAAATCCAGGTCAGCAGTACCATCAGACCACAGAGTCCCAGTGGAAATGAGGGTGTCACATCTAGACTGTCCAGCAGTCCTCCCAAATCCTCAATGTGGCCAAGCCTGAGCTCTACTCACAAGAAAGGTACAAGAATTTTAGTTGGATTCTCTTTGGGACAGTTTGGGGGTTATGTACTAGTTGAAATGAAAATTCTAAACTGTACTTGGCTGAAAGCTAAAAATAAATATTATTTAATGATCAGTTAATTCATTTTATTTGATATTAAACACTCCAAATAAAAATTGAGTTGTACAAACATTTAAATTGGACATAAGGCAGTTTGGTCACACTTTAGTTTGGGAACCAATTCTCACTATTAACTACTAATGAAACTTCTGCCTCAATAAACTCCTAATTTGCTGCTCATTAATAGGATTAATAGGATTAAAGGCCGGGACACACCAAGCCGACTTCAAAGAACTAGCTGCGACGAAAGCCGACGGTGTTGTCGCCTCACGTCGGCAGCGTCGGAACAAAAAGCTGCGCTCGAACACACCGCACAGACTACAGTCGACGGCAAACTAACACATGAAAGGATTTAACTGTCTATATCAGCAGCTATCAATAATATATATTCGTCATTCAAAATGAGAAACCGAGACAAAGATATACGAGATAAACGCAGATATACGAAACGCAAACAAAGCAGCGCTTGCTTCTCGAGGCCCTGACTCATTCGCTAAACTGAACATCCAATCAGAGCTTTCACTCGCGCCAACAGTCCCGACGGCCCCGACGCCAATTCAACATGTTGAATCGGGCAAACTGCCGCCAACGAGTAGAACACACCAAACAAACTAGCCCAACCATCGCTTGCAGTCGGCACCACGTTGGCCAACGGCCGACCGTCGGCTTGGTGTGTCCCGGTCTTTAGGGATTTAAAATAGGGTGATGCAGAATAAGGCATTAATATGTGCTTTATAAGTACTAATAAAATAAATAGTAATATGCATGGTAATAAGCAATTAGTTAATAGTGAGAACTGGTCCCTAAACTAAAGTGTTACCGGCAGTCTTTATGTCAGCTTTTTAATAACAGAATTAGGTTTCAACTACAGTCTGTTGTTGAAATCTAAACATTTAAATGGTGGCTGCAATAAAAACTTGTTTCCATGACATATTATTAAATCATATATTAAATAATGCAACAAAAAGACAGGTTAAGTAAAATATAATGAATATGTAATAAAATCCACATATTTAGCTAAATGTTCCTCAAGAATGATTGTTTTCTAGTTGACTATTGAGTTTATGGACTTTGAATGGCTTAAGAGGCATGTTTTATTAACATCTTTCTGCATTTGAAACACTGACTGAGTGATTACATGAGACACAATACATTTCAGTAAGTCGTACTCGCCTTCTGATGTTCATTGATGTTTATTTCATGCTGTAACTACTAAAGAGGAAGAAATTATCGGTTCATGGGCTGCTTCAATTGAGGCACTACAGCGATCTGTTATGATGACACATTAAAGAGCTTTCCAAAACTATTTGCGGTTGCTGAAATTTCAGTGCATCACTAGTATTAGTTTAATTGTTGTGAACGTGACCTGAACTGAAACAGATTTGGCATTGATTCTAAATGGTTGTGATGTGTTGACAGTACCCTTGTTCACCCCACCAAAGAGTAAGCGGCAGAGGAAATATCGCAGCATCATCTCTGAAGTGTTCGACGGCACCATTGTCAGCTCAGTTCAGTGCCTGACCTGTGACAGGGTGAGTGATCTGTGTGTTCTTCACCCAAACATGCCCCCAGACAACTTCACTTTAATAAACAAAGTGAACATGAGCATTTGATTCTTTAGTTGGCAGAGAAAGGTACTTAAAACTGACGGAGGACAGAGTGTGAATATGCTATCATTAAAGCAAATTATTCAGGAGTGAGAGCTCCTGTAAGTATCAAATGAATGCTTCAAATGAATATTAAATTAATATAATATAGTCAAAGGAATATAAAATAAATACGATCAAATGAATATTGATTTTACTCATACAGTGTAATTTTTACACAGAGTTTTGTTTTGTCACTTTTACTTTTGACTAAATTAGCATATAGATGTTTTTTTTTAACGAATACTTTTATTTATCAAGGAGTAAAGAAATTGATCAGAAGTGGCCATAAAGACATTTAACGTTACAAAAGATTTCAATTTCAAATAAATGCAATAACTTTTTGATCATCAAAATTCATTTTTTTTTAAACCGTGAGAGATGTTTCGTGAGCACCAAATCAGTATATTAGAATGGTTTCTGGAGAATCTTGTGAAAACGGGAGGATGCTGAGGATTCATTACATGAATACATTGCATTTTAAAATGTATTAAAGGCAACAAGGTGATTTGGTTCAAAAACATTTTTTGTTATGCTGGTTGAAAGTCTCTTCACATCCCGATAGCAATCATTAAGTTAAGTGGTCTAAATTTATTTATATGTATTTATATAATCTGTGGAAAGTGTAGGACCATAAAATGTTTGTCCAATCATATCCCTCAGGCTGTCTGTTAATGTATGTGTTTGCATACCTCTGCACACCCTGTTCGTGCAGATATGATATTTCATCAGCACTTTCCGTTACACTATTGCAGACCGAGCAAGAATGGAAGACATTATTATTATTGTAATGTAATGCGCTTTGTACTGTAATGTTTTCTCAATGGTGAATGAGACATGAGCTAATCTGATAGCGTTGCATTCAACCTTCCACCAACACTTTCATCGTGTCGCTGGTCAGCTTCTGCTCTGCCTGTGCACATTCATGTGTCTTGGAGGAGGCGTGGCTTTGGAGAGTGATTTGCAGGGAGGGTGGGATCTTATGCTTTCAAAGCTCGCTTGCTATTGCTAGCCTCTCCAAAATCGCTTACTGTAAAATAGAAACCAGTATTCACAATATTGCTGTTTTTTTACTGTATTTTTGATCAAATAAATGCAGCCTTGGTAAGCAAAAGATCCTTTTTTTTATAAAACATTTAAAAAAATCTTAGAGCTAAACACAAGTGTATATTGTATATCATAGAATTTTTTTATGATCATGTGCAAAATTATTTGAATTGGTTTGATATCACATTTTTAGTGTTTACTTCATTGTCATTGCAGATGCAAGTTCTAATATTATGTTTATGTGGTGGATATAGCTGATTAATCAGATATAAATATGTATAGGGCACATTTCAGTACTAATTAACCCATTGGTTCAAAATGGTTCAGTTAAGTTTAGTGGTGTTCAGCTCTTTTCACTTAGGTAGTTCAATCACAAACATAAGTCATTTTAAATCAACATTGCTTGCATATGAAAAACGATCAGTGATAATAGAAGAAAATGAACAAAACATGTCATCATGATGAAAGTTGTGTTACATATGAGCTATGTTGCTTTGTTTTAGACAGTATTTGCAGTTACAGATTAACATTTTAAATTAAGCTCCTCTGTTACTTGTCCTTCCTTTCTCAGGTTTCAGTGACTTTGGAGAACTTCCAGGACATCTCTCTGCCCATCCCAGGGAAAGAGGACCTTGCCAAGCTGCACTCTTCCTCCCACCAGACGGCTCTAGTCAAGGCTGGTTCGTGTGGAGAAGCCTACGCCCCTCAAGGCTGGATTGCTTTCGTCATGGAATATATCAAGAGGTTTTATGTTGACATTTGTCTTATGTGAGAGTGTACGCTTGTGAAAAAAGCACAGTTAAGCATACTTATAAAAAGAGTACTTATTCTGGAAATAAATGTGAACTGAATGTTTACTGCAAGTAAATGAAAATGTATTATAGTTTACATTTAGATTAAATGCAATTAGTTTAACTTTAAGTGCTTTATATATATATATATATATATTTAAAGTACACTACAAATGCACATTCAATAAAATTATGTGCACAAGGCTATATTAAGTGCTGCCTTGAGTCCTTATGTCGATAAAATATAATTCAGTCATTTGCAAGTATTTAAGCATGTATATAGTATTGTAGACAAAGAAAAGATCCTGGAAAATTGCCAGAGTGCCTTCTGTGTGAACGTAAACACGTCCCGGGAACGATCCTGGGATGAGGACCTAGTAACATTGCCGGGATCAGTCCCAGAACGAGGCCGGTGTGAACAAAAGCCAGGACCAATGCCGTAAAGGGTGTGTCGTAGTGATGATGCACGTTATCATGCGACTCTTTTACCGGGTGGTTTGAAGGCAGATCAATGTTCATGATGAAAAAATATGCGCAAACTGGAATGAAGCAGAGATCAGGGAGCTCCTCACTATCCGGGCTCAAGCTGAGATCGTTCACCAGCTTAGTGAAATGGTACTCGTAACATTACACATCATATCCTAACGTCACGTGTCTTTAAGGGATCTTTACGGAATGTGTGTGAACGCATGCACAGATTCCGGAAAATCACTAGCAGTGTGAATGAACCAAAATCAAACGATCCCAGGACAAATCACAGGACACATTATCCGAGTATTTTCCGGAATCCCTGTGTGAAAGAGGCTTTAATATGTTTCTTTTGAATGACCCTCACTGTTTATTTCTGCTCATTGATTTTTAGTTGGTTCTGGGGGCCTGTGGTCACGCTGCAGGACTGTCTGGCTGCTTTTTTTGCAAGGGATGAACTAAAAGGTTTGATATTTTTTCCCCCCTCTCTCAAAATTGAAATTTTGCTCTGAAACCGAAACTAATCAAAAGCTGATTGTGCTGTTTTGAGTCTCAGATCTAGAAAAAGAAGATGAATATGGAAATATTTATGGAATTCTGTGTTCATATTTAACATATCAGTGCTGTAATTCTTAACGGTTGTGCTTTTTTTTCAGGAGACAACATGTACAGCTGTGAAAAATGCAAGAAGTGAGTATGAACTTGTTGGAGAATGTATTGAAGATGATGGTTGCAGAAATTAAAGTGTTAATGTTGATTGTTTCAGGTTACGGAATGGAGTCAAATTCTGCAAAGTTCAGAGTTTGCCAGAGGTAGGAACACCGATGAGCTATTATGGTTTTTATACAGGTTCAGGCGCCACATGATTATTTTCCAGATTTTGAAAAACATCAGATTTACATTAGCTTATAGGAAATACACAAAATAATAAAAACACCACAAATGAAGTTCACAATGTCTTGGCCTTGTTCCAAGTCTGCCTGAAAGGAAAACAAAACTTAGACCCTTGAGCAATAATAGTAATATAATGGGTAATAGGTTCTGTTGAGTAATCTGTTTTCTACATCCAGTGGATTTATGTTTGGAGAGAGACTAAGAATGCCTTCAAAATATAATATCTGCTGCCATCTGGTAAATTTGCTCAGGGACCTGTAATGGCAAGAGCAGCCATCTTATGGGAGTTGTTAGATCTGATGATTGTTCAGTACATCTGTAAAATGGCAAAGTATTTCACTGGACCACCATGATGGTAGTACTACGCAGTCATGCTGTAAAAACTGCCCAAGTAGTTATATTTTTATATGAACAGACATGGCAGGTTTTTGCTATTTTATTTTATTATTGTTGGAATCTAACAGCAAACTTTGATTTTCTGCTTTGGTAAAATTCTCTGTCTCTCAAACAGATTTTGTGCATTCATCTCAAGCGCTTCAGACACGAACTTATGTTCTCCACCAAAATCAGCACTCATGTGTCCTTCCCTTTGGAAGGCCTCGAAATGCAGCCCTTCCTGGCCAAGGACTGCTCCGCCCAGACCACCAACTACGACCTGCTGTCAGTCATCTGTCACCACGGCACTGCCAGCAGTAAGTCTTTTAGACGAGGGACACGGTTATAAAAGTATTACGTCATATATAGCATTTACAGCAGTTACACATTGTAATATAAATTATTATTGTTCATATTAGTATATTATTTTTAAAAAGTAATTATTTTTAAAATAAAAATGATTCATTTTATTTTCAAAGGGGTCATATGATGCTGCTAAAAATAACATTATTTTGTGTATTTGGTGTAATTAAATGTTTTTATGCGGTTTAAGGTTAAAAAAACACATTATTTTCCACATACTGTACATTATTTTTTATTGTTTATAAATAATTTATAAATAATTTTATGCAAAATATAATAAATTAATTTGATTTATTTTACATTACTATAAGAGATATGTAAGTGGTTTCAGGTGGTGAAGTTGTAGTCATTTTGTGCCATTAATATTAATTCAGTAATATAGCAAAAAACAGGATAAACTAAGATGTGGCAGTGGGATCAGGAAAATTATAAATTCTGACTCAAACTCACATATTTAATGTGATTTTTGCTTTGTTCAAGGTGGCCACTATATTGCCTATTGTCGGAACGAGCTGAACCAGCAGTGGTACGAGTTTGATGACCAGAGTGTTACTGAGGTGTCTGAGTCCTGTGTTCAAAACGCTGAGGCATATGTGCTCTTTTACAAGTAAGAACATACATAAACAGATATGAAGTACCAATATTTATTTATTACTCCTAACCCCTAATGCTATTAACCTCCCTGCCATATAACCTTACAAATACAACCTATAAACTTATAACCATATAAATATTATCATATATTAAGTAACAATAAATTGATATCACTTCTAATATATATAAAAAGCAATAAATGTCAAAAATGGTATATTATAATTTATTTTTAATGTATTAAAATTAATTACAATTAATAACTCATGACATTCCTCTTTCAAAAAATGTTTTGTGCTAACTGTGTTACGTTCAGAATGTTTTGGAGTTATTATTATTTTATTTTATTTTATTTAATATAACCTAAAATCAAACTGGGGTCCGGGAGCACCTAGTGCAGGGGTGTCCAAACCTGTTCCTGGAGGGCCACTGTCCTGCAGATTTCAGCTCCAACCCTATTGTTGAGTTTCACAAAATAGAAAGTGGCTGTAAGAAAAATAGCTAAAGCATTGAAAATACCCATTTCCACCATCATGGCAATAATTAAGAAGTTCCAATCAACTAAAGATGTTACAAATCTGCCTGGAAGAGGATGTGTGTCTATATCGACCTAATACGCAGTGAGGAGGAGAGTTTGAGTGGCCAAAGACTCTCCAAGGATCACTGCTGGAGAAAATGCAGACATTAGTTAAAAAAAACTATATATATAAAAAAAAAATCAAACAGCCCCTACATCACCACATGTTGTTTGGGAGGGTTTCAGGAAAAATCTTCTCTCATCCAAAAACTAACTCCAGCATATTCAGCTGTCAGACACGACTGGAACTTCAAACAGTACTGGCTTCTATGGTCTGATGAAACTAAAAAAGAGCTTTTTGGGAGCAAACCCACCAGATGGGTTTAGTGCAAACAGGGATAAAAAGTACCGTGAATGATCGTAAATAGGAATGTGGTAGTTAAAAATTGCATATGAAAGCAATGTGAAATCGTCCGCTTGAATTTGTCAAACAAGTGGGACTTATAAAGTTTGTGATAGCACGCAAAGGCACCATGAGACTAGGACTGGAACTTCAAACAGTACTGGCTTCTATGGTCAGATGAAACTAAAAAAGAGCTTTTTGGGAGCAAACCCACCAGATGGGTTTAGTGCAAACAGGGATAAAAAGTACCGTGAATTATCGTAAATAGGAATGTGGTAGTTAAAAATTGCATATGAAAGCAATGTGAAATCGTCCGCTTGAATTTGTCAAACAAGTGGGACTTATAAAGTTTGTGATAGCACGCAAAGGCACCATGAGACTAGCTATGTTATTTTTATCACGCATGCTCCCCGTCTGTGTAATTCATAAACATGCATTTATTATGCACAGTACAATCAGATGACTGACTTTTAAACCGAGTACATTTTCTGTACAGATAACAGGCTTGTACTAATAGTGGAATGTTTATTTGCAAAGGCCAGCATTGGTATGCCAGAGCATGAGATCTTGAAGCTCCGCCCTCTTCTGAAAAGGGAGGCGGGAGCACCAGCTCATTTGCATTTAAAGGGACAAACACAAAAACAGCGCATTTTGGCTCATTTCACCAAGCTGTAAAACATTATCTGTGGGGTATTTTGAGCTAAAACTTCACATATACACTCTGGGGACATCAGAGACTTATTTTACATCTTGAAAAAAAGGGGCATAATAGGTCCACACTACAGTTGTGAGCCTATTTTTCTGCACTGGACGTCTTTTTCAGATACATGGCATCATGGACTCTTTTAATTACCAACAGATTAAAAATCTAAACCTGACTGCCTCTTAGAAATCTTATAATGGGCCGTGGTTGGATCGTCCATCAGGACAATTATCCAAACAAACATCAAAATCAACACAAAAAATGTGTCACTGAGCACAAAATGAAACTTCTGCCATGGCCGTCCCAGTTCCCTGACCTGAACTCTATAGAAAATGAGTGAGGTGAACTGAAGAGAAGAAGCACTAACACGGAGCTGTGAATCTGGAGAGATTCTGTATGAAGGAATGGTCTCTGATCTCTTGTCAGGTGTTCTCCAAACTCATCAGGCATTACAGGAGAATACTCAGAGCTGTTATCTTGGGATCTTCACTGAATTAGGGATGAACAAACAATGATTAGATGCATCTGTTCTTTTAGGCAGAAAAGCTCAAGGTTATGTTGAGCAGGACAAACGGCCTTGAGTCTGTCTGTAAATATCTGTGCTGTGGTGAAGCATGTGAGTTGACCGTTGCTAAATAGCGCTGATGTCATTTGTGTGTGTGTGTCTGTGTGTGCAACAGGAAGAGTAACGACGAGACTCAGAAGGCGAGGCGGAAGGTGTCCAGTCTGCTCAACATGATGGAGCCAAGCCTCCTGCAGTTCTACATTTCTCGCCAGTGGCTGAACAAGTTCAAAACCTTCGCTGAGCCAGGACCCATCTCCAACCATGACTTCCTGTGTGCCCACGGCGGTGAGGACCACTCTTATTAAGATCTGGGCCTTTACCACTTGACCATTATAAAGTATTTTATACACCACAGATATGACTCCACACCAGATATAATTGCAGATTCTACCAGCATTACAGAGGTCAAGTGCCGCCACATCCTTTTCACTGATTATGTTTGTTTTTACTGTCTTCCTCTCCTTTCCACTTAAAAAGTGCAGTATGAGGGCAGTGAAAAAATGTGAATCTCTTAAGAAAGCATTTCAAAGCAGTTTTGTCCCCTTGATGTGATTTGTTTGAACTGAGTCTAATGAATTTGAAGGAAAAGATCTGACAGGAACAAAGATACAAGAAGTTCCCTATGTATTATTTATAAATCTTCTTTTGCACGCTGTTTCATGTCGACTTTCAGGGTACAGATGCCCATTTTTGAGTAGATAAATTATTTGGTGGTTAAAATTATGACCTCTTGTTTTTCTTTCTACAACAGGTGTTCCTCCAAATAAAGCCTCATTTATTGACGATCTGGTTATGATGCTTCCCCAAAATGTATGGGATCATCTGTATAGCAGGTAAGAGTTGTCACTGTTCTTTTTATAACTTCCTTTGGAAGTTGAGCTTCTTATTAAATGCTAATTGTTGGCTCGTTGTTGAATAGGTACGGAGGCGGCCCCGCTGTCAATCACTTGTATGTCTGCCACACCTGCCAGAACGAGATCGAGAAGCTGGAGAAACGCCACAAGAATGAGCTGGACATGTTTGTTCGGGTAGGAGCCGCAATGGCATCGTAGATTTAAAGGGTTAGTTCACCCAAAAATGAAAAATTAGCCCATAAATTACTCGCCCTCAAGGCGTCCTAGGTGTATATAACTTTCTTCTTTCAGTTGAATCCAGTCGGAGTTATATAAAAAATTGTATTTGATCTTCCAAGCTGTTTAATGGCAGTCAGCGGCTGTTGCAGTTCATCAGTCCAAAAGAAGTTAAATAAAGCGCTCCGAGGGGTGAATAAAGCGGAAGCAGCTCCGGGTGGATGACATAGGACGTCAGCGTTGCGAATGCATCGCTCAGAAGTGACGAATGCGGAAACGCAGCGGAGAGATCAAAACAAAACAACAGTCACGAATTAGAAGTACAAAATGAGGATTTGTAAAGAAGAATGTCGAAGGATTTCGATATAAGCAAAAAGGAGACTGGTTTTCCTTTGCTAAAGTAAGGAAACTTTACTTCCTTTGCTCCTGTAAACAAACATTGGTTTTCACGAGACTCACCGGCGCATGCGCAACGCCGACATCTTACATCATCCTCCCGGAGCTGCTTCCGTGTACAACTGTTAGCACAAGCTAGATTAAAGTGATTATTACACTTTGAATATGGATATTTTTCTTACAAAAACACATCGATTTGCTACAGGAGGCCTTTGTTCATCCCCTGGAGCCATGTGAGGCACTTTTCATTATGGATGGATGCGCTTTATTTCACTTCTTTTGGACTGAAGCACTGCAACACCCGCTGACTGCCATTAAACAGCTTGGAAGATCAAAGTAAATTTTTTATATAACTCCGATTGGATTCATCTGAAAGAAAGAAGTCATATACGCCTAGGATGGCTTGAGGGTGAGTAAATAATGGGCTAATTTTCATTTCTGAGTGAACTATCCCTTTAAAGGGACATGTAGAGTGAAAAGTGTCTCAATAGGGCCTTTCGCACCGCTTTAGTTCCCGAACTAAATGTACAGTACTAAAGTACTGGGACGATTTTGCGCGAACTATTTCCCAGTACCATTTAAAGGGTTGCATTCGCACTGACAGTGTGTACTAAGAAGTGACGTAAACCGGTCGACAGCGACGTCATTTGTGCGCGGCGTTCAACAACAGAAACAAAGAAGAACAACATTAACAACAGGAGGATGGAGGACGCTGTGATCGGAGCTGTGTTGGACATGGAAAGTCGACGTATACGTAAAGCGATTGAAAGAACGGAAAGGAGGACTAAGAATCTCCAACGACAACTGGCAGTGCTATATTTGCTACAAGTGCCTGCACTTCATTGACGATCTGGTTATGATGCTTCCCCAAAATGTATGGGATCATCTGTATAGCAGGTAAGAGTTGTCACTGTTCTTTTTATAACTTCCTTTGGAAGTTGAGCTTCTTATTAAATGCTAATTGTTGGCTCGTTGTTGAATAGGTACGGAGGCGGCCCCGCTGTCAATCACTTGTATGTCTGCCACACCTGCCAGAACGAGATCGAGAAGCTGGAGAAACGCCACAAGAATGAGCTGGACATGTTTGTTCGGGTAGGAGCCGCAATGGCATCGTAGATTTAAAGGGTTAGTTCACCCAAAAATGAAAAATTAGCCCATAAATTACTCGCCCTCAAGGCGTCCTAGGTGTATATAACTTTCTTCTTTCAGTTGAATCCAGTCGGAGTTATATAAAAAATTGTATTTGATCTTCCAAGCTGCTTAATGGCAGTCAGCGGCTGTTGCAGTTCATCAGTCCAAAAGAAGTTAAATAAAGCGCTCCGAGGGGTGAATAAAGACCTCCTGTAGCGAATCAATGCGTTTTTGGAAGAAAAATACGCATATTTAAAACGTAATAATCAATTGAATCTAGCTTGTGCTCACTGTTGTACAACGGAAGCAGCTCCGGGTGGATGACATAGGACGTCAGCGTTGCGAATGCATCGCTCAGAAGTGACGAATGCGGAAACGCAGCGGAGAGATCAAAACAAAACAACAGTCACGAATTAGAAGTACAAAATGAGGATTTGTAAAGAAGAATGTCGAAGGATTTCGATATAAGCAAAAAGGAGACTGGTTTTCCTTTGCTAAAGTAAGGAAACTTTACTTCCTTTGCTCCTGTAAACAAACATTGGTTTTCACGAGACTCACCGGCGCATGCGCAACGCCGACATCTTACATCATCCTCCCGGAGCTGCTTCCGTTGTACAACAGTGAGCACAAGCTAGATTAAAGTGATTATTACACTTTGAATATGGATATTTTTCTTACAAAAACACATCGATTTGCTACAGGAGGCCTTTGTTCATCCCCTGGAGCCATGTGAGGCACTTTTCATTATGGATGGATGCGCTTTATTTCACTTCTTTTGGACTGAAGCACTGCAACACCCGCTGACTGCCATTAAACAGCTTGGAAGATCAAAGTAAATTTTTTATATAACTCCGATTGGATTCATCTGAAAGAAAGAAGTCATATACGCCTAGGATGGCTTGAGGGTGAGTAAATAATGGGCTAATTTTCATTTCTGAGTGAACTATCCCTTTAAAGGGACATGTAGAGTGAAAAGTGTCTCAATAGGGCCTTTCGCACCGCTTTAGTTCCCGAACTAAATGTACAGTACTAAAGTACTGGGACGATTTTGCGCGAACTATTTCCCAGTACCATTTAAAGGGTTGCATTCGCACTGACAGTGTGTACTAAGAAGTGACGTAAACCGGTCGACAGCGACGTCATTTGTGCGCGGCGTTCAACAACAGAAACAAAGAAGAACAACATTAACAACAGGAGGATGGAGGACGCTGTGATCGGAGCTGTGTTGGACATGGAAAGTCGACGTATACGTAAAGCGATTGAAAGAACGGAAAGGAGGACTAAGAATCTCCAACGACAACTGGCAGTGCTATATTTGCTACAAGTGCCTGCACTTCAGCGTCCGTCCATCTATCGCTGTTCTCCATACTTGCGAAATAAGTTGACACAATGTTTACAGTATGTTTACACTGCGTTTTAAATCATGGCGGGTGGGGGCGGTATTGTACACGTTTGGCCAATCAATGTCTACTTACGTCACGGGTAGTACCAGTTGTGCTGGTTAGACCCTGCTCCGGAGTAGGAGCTAATTTGGTTCTCGAAAAAGGCAGTCCGGTACTAAAATCGCACCCAGTTCCGGCGGTGCGAAAACGGCAAAAAGTGGGTAGTTCCACAATTAGTTCTGGTACTATGAAAAGTTTCCCGTGGCGTGAAAGGCCCTATTGTTTTGGGTTGGTCTAACGCCTAGACTGTTATCTGGCCTCTTAATGTGTGCACAGACGCCAAGTTGTGCTCATTATTAATGCATGAGGACAAAAGTACTTGATTTCAGCCAGAGATGCTTTGCTTAGTTCGAGTTAAGGCCACATAAAGAAGGCCAAATGACTGATAATATGGAATTTTAAGTAGTAGAAAGTAGTTATGTACCCATATTAAAATCTGATACCAATAAGCCGATTAGGGCTGCAACTAATAATTATTTTGATCATTCATTAGTCTGTGATTACTACTTTGATTAATCAGATAAGAAGAGTTTAATATAAAGCCTTCTTGGATTGTACACTTTTCCCACAGCAGCTCACAGTGAGCTATTTTTCATATGCGTTTTCTTCAGAGAAATGCATTGTTCCCTACTGTAAAGAGCTGTGATTGGTGAATGATTTCACTTCACAGTGCACAAACACGATTAATCAATCAATTTTGTTGTCCACGATTTCCATTATAGATTATTATCAATATGTTGTTACAGCCCTGAAGCCGATAATAATTTTTTTGTTATGATTAATAACGTCTAAATATAGATGCATTCCTGGTGGACCCACCACTCGCACTACTTGTACTATAAAATGACTAACATGACTACAATGACTAACAATTAGTTCCACATTCCATATGGATAGTCACTTGTGGAATGACTATCCGTCTTTCGGATGAGACGTTAAACCGAGGTCCTGACTCTCTGTGGTCATTAAAAATCCCATGGCACTTCTCGTAAAGAGTAGGGGTGTAACCCCGGTGTCCTGGCCAAATTGCCCCCCTGGCCTTTGTCAATCATGCCCTCCTAATAATCCCCAACCACTTGATTGGCTCTATGACTTTCTCTCCTCTCCGTCTGTAGCTGGTGTGTGGTTAGCGCACTGGCGCCGTTGTCCTGTGGCTGCCATCGCATCATCCAAGTGGATGCTGCACACTGGTGGTGGTTGAGGAGAGACCCCCCCCACATGATTGTAAAGCACTTTGGGTGTACAACAATACACAATAAAGTGATGAATGAATGAATAAATGCATCATTCATTCATTCATTCATTCAACAATGACTAACTTTACATGGTGTTAGACTGTATAAAAAAAACTCAAGTTGCGAGTGCAACGATCAAAGGTCTCTGACTAGTGCATGTTCACATAGAAAAATGATAGAAAAGCAGCGCAGTAGAATGCAAAAACACGTTCTGTGTGAATGGCCCTATAGGAAGCAGTCGCTATTGTAAGCCGTAGACAGCAATGTAGCTCACTAAGATTTGGAACAGAGTTTCTGTCTCAGTTTTTCGTGTAATTGTTTGTTTGGCTGCAGTGAGGTAGGATGATATTTTACGAAGAAACAATGGTATCTTTCTCTTTCTCTTCATGTGTTTTTTCTCTTTCCCCATCTCTTCTGGCCTTCATGTAGCTCAACAAGGCGTTTCAGGAGGAGGAGTCTCCTGTGGTGATATACTGTATCAGCATGCAGTGGTTCCGGGAATGGGAAGGTTTTGTCAAAGGCAAGGACATTGGTAAGTCATTACTCATCCCTGCTGCTGATACTTCTAAAGTATCTGAAAGTTTGAAATTGAATATTAGCATTATGTCCTGCGGTTATTGATGACTAAGGAGTCCTTGAAGAATTTCATTATAGATTTAGTTTGCTTTTCACCTTTGTTTGTGGTATTTGGTGTGTTTTTGTTGATGGATGGTCTTGTGCTTTTCAGACCCACCAGGACCAATTGATAACTCCAAGATTGCTGTAAATAAAAATGGACACATCGCATTAAAGCCAGGTATTTTTTATATATATATATATATTTTTTTTTTACATTTGCCATGTCTTTTAAAGTTACCATAAAACAGAAATCATAACCCATTTTACGTCCTCAATACGGTGTAGTACCAAGCTAAAGTTCCTCAAAATATTTTTAAAGTTAAATAACATGAAGTTAAGTCATTTTTGATTGAACTGTCTTTTTAGGAAAGTAAATCAGGTCAATATTAGCTTTATATTTCAATTATAGGTGCACAATTGAACTGATCACGATTATTTTGCTTTCACATAAGGGCATGTTAACTCATACGCAGGGTTTATTTTACCACAATCTAGTTTCCTGATTTATTATATCCATCATGAACGTTGAAGCAACTGTATGTAGTTTTGTTTATTGTGCATATTGTGTGAAAGAACCAAAAAGCCATTTGTCTTATTAGATGTTAGTTTATTATCAGAATGAATATTTCATGGAAAAAAATAAATAATAAAAAACGTACATAACAGTTGCTTTAACACACTCTCTACAAAACCTTGAGAAGCTTCTCTCAAAAGCTAAAACTGTAAAATTCGTATTATTAAAATAATTCCAAATCCTGTTAAAGGGATAGTTCACCTAAAAATGAAAATTGTCATAATTTACTCACCCTCACGTTGTTCTAAACCTGTACAACTTTCTTTGTCTGTTGAACTCAGAAGAAGATATTTTGAAGAATGTTGGTAACCAAACAGTTGACGGTAGCCATTGACTTCTATAGTATTTCTCCCATACTATGGAAGTCAATGGGTACCGTCAGCTGTTTGGTTACCAACATTTTTCCAAATCCAAGTTCTGATTGGGGTTTTAAGCTCTTAATATTTAAATGCTTGTGGAGACAAAAAAACAGCTTGCCAATATTGAAAAAGAAGCAGAAATCATGATTAAAAATATGATTAATCGTGCAGCCCTACATTCAGTAGTGTACTTGTTTCAGGTACATCATTAACACATTTGCTCAAAAAACATGCATTTTGCTTCTTCTCTCTGCTTTAACAGGTGCTGATTCAGGTCAGATATCTGAAGAGACCTGGAACTTCCTCCATTCCATCTACGGAGGAGGGCCAGTGGTGACCGTGCGGCCCAGTGTCAGCCATCAGGAGGCCGAAACATCTCAAGCAGAGGAGAAGATCGAAGTGGAGACACGTTCAGTGTAGTTTTGCTGAGATGCTGCTAGACCACAAGGCGACCTAGAAACACTTATTATTTTGCACTTCACTTTTGTTTTCAAGCGTTCAAGTAAAGGACCTACAGCTTCACCTCAGCATACACATCTCTGCCACACTCTCGATACCCTTTATGACTGTTCTTTATAGCAGATGGATGGATTAAACATCCTCCAGTGTGCTTTCTTTGTATATAACATACATATCCACTTCCTCTTGACACTAGAAACCAAGTAGACTTAAGGCACATTTTCACAGTTCATTTGATTTCTATGTGCAGCTGCGTTCATGACAGATTTTGCTTCACCCAAGCCAAATAGAACATGATTTGTGTACACCGAAAATGAATTCCACTGCATCTAGATATTTTTGAGGTACTGCCTCAATTAAGAAAATGAAAGAACATGTTGTCTTAGTGGATGAAATCTTCATGTTTTGGGTATGAAGGGATACTAAATGCTACGTAGTCTCAGGAAAGAACTTATTATTTTTTGCACTGTACTGTAGATTCAAAAGCGTGCATGCTTCAGCTCTGATGCTCGATATGTATTTGAATGTACTAGTACTTAAAGAACACGTTTCTGCACTAAATGTTATTTATTCCAGAGGGGTATGATCATTCTGGCATTCATGAACGTTTTCTTTGTTCGAAAATGATTCGACAAGCTAAATCGAAGCAGAATGCACGCTAATTGGAATGATGTGGCACATTACGCTGGCAAGAAAATCGATTCCTCATTTCTATTTGTGCTGCATAGCTGTGCCGCTGGGTTGCATGGAGATGCAAACAATTTGAACACATCAATGGCTGTCTTGTTTAAAAATGCTATGTAAAAGGAAATCCGATCAATTAAATCCTCCTGCCTCATGTGTACATTCAAGGCATTATTTAATGTATAGAAGGATGTGAAGTCATTTGTCAATATTAATTGTCCGCAGAGATTAAAGCTGTATCTGAGTGGCTATTAAATCCTAAACGTATGCTGTCGATATCTGTCATCATTCTTATGATCTGAAACTTAAGAAATTTATATTTGTTAAATTGCTCTGTAAATGGATATACTTCACAAAAACACAAAATCAAATAAGAAAATAATACAAGACATTTTTTGGGCATTTTGATGTTATTTTCAGGACAAATAAGCACATTTCCACCCAAGTGCTCATTACAGTAATGCATATAGACATTTTATTTTTGTGATTTTTAAGTTAGCATGAAGGTATTCAAATTAAAATGACTACCAAATATAAACTAATTTTTATTTATGTAACAATTTATCATTTTCTATGTTTGGTTTTGGGGTGAAATATGACTAGGATATGTTTTTGCAAGATTCAGTTGTAGAAGAGGGTTTTTTCAATTCTTTACATGCCACAAACTCACAAAATTAATGATCCCTGTGCAAGAGACCCCCATCCTAAAATTTAAATTCCATCTATATATATATATATATACAATAGGGTGCGCCAAATTCGTTAGCATTAGCATGCTAAATGTATCATCTTTATTAGCGCTCTTAGCCAAAATGCTAATTAGTGACTGAGTTGTGGGGGGAAAAAAAGAAAGAAACAGAGTTGTTTGTTTCTCGTTGTTGCGTGGCCATTTACACGATAGGTGGTATTGTATTAATTGTAGCGCAAAATGAGTGCAATTGCGCATCCTGTGAATGCAGTAGTTAGCAGGTGAGCTAATAAAACCCCGCGGACACATTTGTTTTGTTCAGTTAAACGGTTAGTTGTGTCTTAAAATCTGTTTTTTTTAAAACATGTTTTATGAAATGCACGAAGCAGACGTGTTGCATTAAATACTCATTCAGAAGGCGAGCTCCGCTCAGAAGCCGCCGGAGCTGGAGAAACTTGCACCGGGGTGTTTGGGAGGCAGCCGGGGCTGCACATCATGCCGAACCGCGGGTGCGGTGTTGCCGGAGAGGCCCGTTAGAAATGCAATCGAAGGAGAAAATGTTGCTTCTCGCGACTGTGCTAGATAATAATCTGCAGTGGTGCTTAAAACAGTGCGTCCGATTTCTGAAAGAGGAAAACATCACATTCTTAGAACAGGTTTTTAATGACGGTTTATCATTTTTCAAGCACGGAGCCAAACTGTTGTTCTCTGAAACCACTGCGACGAGCAATTTAGAGAACATGCAGAGGGCGAGCGCTTTCCTCCGCGTTGTCATTTGGACTGGGCTGGGGTGTTTTCTGATAGTTCATTGGCGAGCACGTGTCAATTTAAAGTTCTTCGCCACGCGCGCGAGCTCTACGATTATCCAGGAAGTTTTAAATTCGTAACGCGTGCGGCGCAAAGCGCGAGTAGAATAGCAACGCCACATTTCAGGTCCATAAAAGCAGTCTGCGCGAGTTTGGGGGCAGCTGGCGGTGATCCACCGTTCTGGGATGAGCTTCTGTTGGTAGTAGTGTCTGTTCTGGGTCTTCTTTACACAAGGTGTGATATAGGCAGTGGTGGAAAGAGTACTGAAAAAATATACTCAAGTAAAAGTACCATTACCTTCCAAAAAATGTAGTGTGAGTATTAGCCAAAATGCTAATTAGTGACTGAGTTGTGGGGGAAAAAAAAGAAAGAAACAGAGTTGTTTGTTTCTCGTTGTTGCGTGGCCATTTACACGATAGGTGGTATTGTATTAATTGTAGCGCAAAATGAGTGCAATTGCGCATCCTGTGAATGCAGTAGTTAGCAGGTGAGCTAATAAAACCCTGCGGACACATTTGTTTTGTTCAGTTAAACGGTTAGTTGTGTCTTAAAATCTGTTTTTTTTAAAACATGTTTTATGAAATGCACGAAGCAGACGTGTTGCATTAGATACTAATTCAGAAGGCGAGCTCCGCTCAGAAGCCGCCGGAGCTGGAGAAACTTGCACCGGGGTGTTTGGGAGGCAGCCGGGGCTGCACATCATGCCGAACCGCGGGTGCGGTGTTGCCGGAGAGGCCCGTTAGAAATGCAATCGAAGGAGAAAATGTTGCTTCTCGCGACTGTGCTAGATAATAATCTGCAGTGGTGCTTAAAACAGTGCGTCCGATTTCTGAAAGAGGAAAACATCACATTCTTAGAACAGGTTTTTAATGACGGTTTATCATTTTTCAAGCACGGAGCCAAACTGTTGTTCTCTGAAACCACTGCGACGAGCAATTTAGAGAACATGCAGAGGGCGAGCGCTTTCCTCCGCGTTGTCATTTGGACTGGGCTGGGGTGTTTTCTGATAGTTCATTGGCGAGCACGTGTCAATTTAAAGTTCTTCGCCACGCGCGCGAGCTCTACGATTATCCAGGAAGTTTTAAATTCGTAACGCGTGCGGCGCAAAGCGCGAGTAGAATAGCAACGCCACATTTCAGGTCCATAAAAGCAGTCTGCGCGAGTTTGGGGGCAGCTGGCGGTGATCCACCGTTCTGGGATGAGCTTCTGTTGGTAGTAGTGTCTGTTCTGGGTCTTCTTTACACAAGGTGTGATATAGGCAGTGGTGGAAAGAGTACTGAAAAAATATACTCAAGTAAAAGTACCATTACCTTCCAAAAAATGTAGTGTGAGTAAAAGTACTTGTCCCAAAAACTACTTGAGTAAGAGTGACAGAGTAGCCTCTTTAAAAGTACTCATGAGTATTGAGTACTGAGCTGTGGATTCTACCCCCTCATAATAAACGCTGTAAAAACCTTGTACATTCTGTAATTCACATTATCTTGTTTGTCATAAAGAATGAAGAGTATCTATCATCCA